AATAGTAATAGTATCAAGCTGAAAATGGCTTTATCGTTAGGAAAATAATAGGAAAAATTAATGTCTAATCATAGTTATTCCAACATACTCCATAATAATGGTTAAAGGTGATAACGTCTTCCTTTTTAATTGATTCTTCTCGCTTGTATCAGTGGGTTCTTGAGGTTCTCGATTCGTCATTTCCGCTCGTTTTTCTCTTATACACAACATTATATACGCTAATATGTCGTTCAAACCACGTGATATCAGCGATAATCCAAGTGGAAATGTTTTAATTAGACCTTTCATTAAATATCCGACAAATATATATTGACAGAACGTTTTACTTTTCGTTCTTAACTTGTTCAAATCAAACATGCTATTAAATCAAAGTTGAGGATATTCATGTAAAACATACGTATGAGAAGGAAAAGGCTAAAAATAATAGTATGTCGTTCATTTCAGTTTTAACTTATTCTTGATGTTAAGTGCATATCTGTCAATAGCCGCATTTCAAGATCCATATGACCGATAATGTCTAGTTGGCAACCAACAATGCATAGTAGTTGTGGAGAAAGGCAGTTGCAACTCCAGAAAACAATTTTCACAACGAACCGACAGTGAGAATATTTTATTGTTAAAAGGCATTAACTGTTGTTATTAGTACAAGTATAATTGTATATCTATGATCCGAATTCATGTGAACATGGGTTCCTATGCATACTTGAAAAAAGTAAATTATCGTTAAAAACACACCCTGTTACTAGACGTATAGATCGTATTTCAAACAGAACTAGAGATAACTATCCATACATTCTATGAATCCTAGCAGAGCCAGTTTCTACTATAATAGTGATACATTATAAAGATAGGACCCCATCAGATACAATCGTGCAATACACTAAAAATTCAATTATCTTTTGTTAAATATGAACATCCGTTCATTAATTAAATAAAAATTAGGACACAACAACAATAAGATTAAACCGGAAACCGAAGACGAGCGGATCTAATCTACTGAAGTCATCTAACATTAAAACATGAATTAATTATTTAACTTCTGTATTTTTTCACAAACTGATCAAAATTATCTGTCTCAGAAAAACATTCATTACTTTCCTTTTTTACCGTATGGAACTTTAAAAGTTTCAGAAAAAACGCATTTAATTTCATTTTTGATTTCTGTTTGATTATTAAATTTTGTTTTGTAGCTATTTACAAATAGAAATCCTCTTTTAGTATTTTCACCAAATTTATGATCGACTTAATGCTTTTCCTGCCTTTTTTGGACGTCCACGCCGTTTTCCTAACACTTGTAATTTAGCTGGATCAGCTATAACATAAAGATTAAGGTGAATCATAAATCCTACTGCATGTTTACAAACATATAGTTTAAGGTTTTGTTTACATGATCACACAATAATTCTTAAATTCACTCTACACCAATTTTTAAGATTTATCGAACAAGTCTCGTTCGTATTAAACGAGACGTCTGTTCATAGATCATCCTATTTGTTTAGGATGAAAAAACGACAAAATATCTTTTACTCCTTGAAAAACCGTGCACAAAAAACGTTTTTTCCGATGAAGCTCGGTAGCAAAAAATATTTGTCGAGAAAAACGCACTTTTTACACAGGTCACGTTGTTTCAGGGCAAAAATTTTCAGTGCACAGGAAAGGAGAGAAAAATTTATGAAGCTAAAAAATTGAGCTTTTTCAGGCTTTGAAGGAAAAATTTAAAAAATTCATAACATTTTGAAGAAAGATTGTGGAATGCTGGGAGTGGTCTCATTTTGTAGTCCAGACTTTTCTCTACATTATACTATGCTCAGCTCAAAATCCAAATTTTTTTCAAAAAAGAAGGGGTTACCTTTAATAGATATGATAATCTCGTCGAAGAAAATGTGCTATTTGAAAAAAAATTACAAGCTATGCGGTCTAACAACATTTTATTCGCGATATTCTTCTATTCTAATATCTCTTTCGTCGTTAAATATTGCACCCCACTCTATACTGTAAAGGAGAAAATTATTTATAGAAAATGCTCGGCGAATTTCAAAGAATCCATATATAAATTCCTCGAACATTTTCTAGTTTATAGAAATTCCTTCTCGAATTTCCAGTTTTCATGTGAATTATTAATGGAAATTCGAAGAGGAATTTCCATTAATAATTCACATGAAAACTGGAAATTCGAGAAGGAATTTCTAAAGACTTTTTAAATGACTCCGAAGAATCTTTGCAATTGTTGTGATATCGACAGAAAGAAACCACCACAGTCCTTGCTTTTCATTATTTGTATTTTAATAACACATTTATTGTCTCTACAGTAAAAAAAATGAACGAAAACACCACGCCTACTCTGCGAAAGAAAATAAAAATAATGAATTTTTATTTGTAAAAATAACAATAGAAAAAGAGAACCGGTAAAAATGTTTTTTATGTAATTAAATCAATTAATTCATTGGAAGATACTAAATAGAGATAAAAGACGAAACGATTAGTGGCATAAGAGAGTATTTCATGTGCTTCGTTGATCTGTGGTACGTGCTCTTCGAAAGTGTAAGATAAAGGAATGACAGTCTTCCACAAAATGCGTTTACGAAAATGCATTGTACAAAGTAGAGTAGAGCTCATACCATCTCTATTTGAATTGTAAGCACCTACTCTCTTAAAAGTTTGTTCAGCTGACAGCAGTCAGCTCTTTCGCGCTAGAGATTCCTTCCATGACTGTCGCAGTGGCTTTGGGATTGCCTCTTTGGTGTACATCTCTTGTTTGTGATTGGTCCGTTCAAGCGATATTAATCGTGGAAATTATTTATAGAAATTCGATTGATTTTCTATAAAGTTAGAAATTTGAGGAAGAATTTCCAGTTTATAGAAATTGCTTATCGATTTTTCAGTTTATAGAAATTCGTATTTATGGAAACTCACGACGATTTTCTAGTAAGTAGAAATTCAACGATTTCTATAAAGTGGGAGAATCGATGTGGAATTTCGATAAACTAGAAATTCTTCAGCGATTTTTCAGTTGATTTTCCATAAACCAGAAATTAATTCAAGATTACAGTGTATATGAGAATTACTGAGATATTTACCAATCCATACTATAAAAGGCGTCCTTCTTCTGGATACTTCGGTGATTCTAATAGATCATCAAAAAGCGAAACATGAAATGAAATCTTATTTAGCCTTTATGTAAATCCAAAACTTTCCAACCCAATTTCTGTCTTTTAAAAACGAAACCTTGCATAAAATAAGCACATTTTTGTTTTCAAGCCTCCATATTTTCCATGGGCTCTCACCAGTTGTCCATACTGAGAAAAAAATTTCACCTTGCTTTTGCTACTTTTACTCCGATTTTGTTTTTTCTCCACTAGGAATAAACAGAATAAAATAACAAAAAATTACTGATCAATTCGTATGAAATATATATGCGCGAGAACCAATAAAATTTCTTCTTTCTATATTCCTTTGATTGCTTTGACTTCTTCTTGATGTGCAGATCGTTAGTTTTCAACAGCCGACGTGCTGAAGTCATATGTAACACGAAAAGAAAAATCACTCAGCAGTCATATTTTTTGACATAAAACAAGCGTTTGACTCCGTGTAGCATCTTGGATTAACTTACAAGTTAGTCGATTTGAAAATACCGGACTATATCGTGCGGTGGTTAATATCATTTCTAGAAAAAAGGACAGCTCAGATCGAAGTGAAGCATCTTTTATCAACAACATTTAAACTAAAGAGAGGAGCGCCTCAGGGCTCTCCACTGTCACCGTTACTCTACATCAGGATTCTCAGATGTCCCCGATTCGACCATTTTGTCCCCCAGTAAATAAATCTCCCATGGGAGACATATTTCGTCCCCACTGGCGATTTATTTGAAATCCTACTACTTCGGCGTCATATTTAAGATGAAAAAATTTGTGGGTTATTACATAATACGCAAAGATTTATGCCCTCTTTAGCATATCTTGTCATAAAGATCATTATCATATAGGTGTTTGGATAGTTTGTAGCAAATAGAGTTATTCTGAGATTCGTGAGCCGTCCCCCAAAACATCACTCTTTCTGTCGTGCGGGTCCCAGGGTTTATCAGACGTGTAATATGAATTTGTTGATAAAACCTAATTGAAAGGAAAAATCTATTGTTTGAAATTTGAAAAATTAGCTTTGCAAGAATGAACTCTAAATTAGAACTATAAGAAGAAACAACAGTGTAATTCTAACGATAAATGGTTAAAAAATTCACAATATTAATTTTAATTTATTTGTAATATGTGACTTTAGTTGAGTTCATCGGATATTTTAGATTGACATAACGTTATTTCGTTAAAATAAGCGTCCCCCATTTGGAACTTTCTGTCCCACATTCGAAAAAGATAATTTGAGACCCCTGCTCTACATACTTTTTACGGTAGATTCTATGAGTCAAACACCAGAACATACACAATATGGATTATTCGCCGATGATACGGCTCTCTGGGCTGCTTGTAACATCACGTCAGGCATGAACAGACGAATTCATGAATCGGTAGATGCCTTTCAGCGATGGTGTACATCATGGAAACTGTCACTGCAACCCACAAAAACAGAAATGATACATTTCAGTCCACATCCACGTAAAAAGTATAAATATCCAATGTTCGTAGTAGTGGGACCAACAATAGTTTGTCCACAGCCATTTGCACGATATTTAGGCGTGATTTTTGATCCTATCATGGAAGCATCATATAAAACATATTAAAGAAAACACAATCAAGGTTTAGTTTACTACGATTTCTATCAAAATCATCATCAGAAAGTACTCCTAAAATCATGATTAACCTGTTTAAATCCTTAGTTAGGCCAATATTGACATACGACGCATCAGCATTGTTAAAAACAGAAGATAAAATCTGGAAAAATTTGCAAATATAGTAAAATAAAGGAATTAGAGCAGCACTAGGAGTTCCATGTTACACATCAACAACATATAAAAATAAACTGTTGTCACCTCATATGTAAGAAGAATAAGCCGTTTAAAATCTGATTTTGCTGACGTACAACATATTTTACTCGCATCATGATGGATTTTATACACATTTCGATTTCCTTAATTTACGGCTTATTCTTAATTGAGATCACCATTTTCCCACTCATTCTCATTCTGCGCTTCCCTCTTTGTGATGTTTCTTTGATATTAATTTTTATGTTACACATTTTATCAAAAAAGTGATCTCAATTAAGAAGCCTCGTTTTAAACTTGTTAAACTCTTCCTCTTGATACTCATTGTTTGCATGGTCTAAGAGTACAGTCCATCTGTTTTAATTATACAGGAAGTCTTCATCTGGACATAGTGTTCTTTTTACATTATTCCGAGAAAGGCGAAATTTTTCACGTTATATGATTTCGTAAATAAATGTGTTTTGGGCTTAAGTTCGTCTTAATTCCAACAATCCTAACCTAGGCTGAACAAAACATTGACTTGAGAAAACAACAGAGTAGTCCCAAGTGAACGCTTTAACATCACAACAAAAATGCAGTGATACAAACTAGCATTAAGTCAAGTTTATTAAGGGAGGTCAATAATTAGATTCTCGATGACCACAAAGCGTCATATGATTGATCAGAATGATGATCGATCATCATTTAACTTTCCAGTCCTAGGTAATTAAATGATAAAAACAATATAATGATCGAGGGTGATACTCCATCTTTATTTTCATTTATTAAAGTAAATTAGGGTTTTAGTTTTAATTTAGTAAAGTGACATACCGAACTTTATTTTCTAAGGTTAGGTTGTTCTACCTCATAACTTTTATTTAGAAAAAATAAAATAAATTAAAGTCTGATTTATTCATTTGATGTTTTTCATATTAAGCGAGGTGGCGTGATCACTGTATGTGAACGCTATACAAGTCGCCCATTTGCGAAATAAATGAAAAATAAAGTGGAAAAAGGATAAATAAATGAATAATGTCCTAGCTTTTCGTGGGACTATCACACAGATGAACTGATCTTTTCTTTTCGTCGTGAATCAATAGAGAATCTTTTTTCTATCATAAGCAGCTACATCTAAGTCTAACTTTCGTGGTCTTGAGTGGTGCTCATGAAGTGAAATCTATTATACATGTGGAATGAGTAAAGTCCAAAAGTGTAACCCAAGCGTCAAAAAAAAATCTAGTATCGCCCGATTCATCTAGATTACTAGATTTTTACTCGATTACAACTACTGTGTAACGACAATGGAAATCGAGTAATCGGGCGATTACTAGATTTTTTCTAGTTGCAACTATCGATTTATCGTCCAATAATCGATCGATTTAGTTATTACTAGATGCACCTGCAGACGCATCTAGTTAAAAGTCCCTTTTCCAACTAGTAATCTAGATGGCAACTAGTCGTGTATCGCCCGATTACAGACGAAATGTATCTAGATCTTTCGCATAGGTGATATTTGCTTGAGAAGATCTGAGCTCCATAATGTTTCCAGAGTTATCGAGTCGTGCAGAGCATCGGGTCATTTTGAGGCCAAATCGAAAATATGTTATTATTCAACAAACGATATTTTTCACACGAGGCAAAAAGAATAAACGTGGAAATCAATTCGTCATCCAGAATAGTAAAAGTTCGAGTTTTCATCATATGTCCATTCGGGAAGGTTACATAATCGAAAGTCGAGAATAATGGGCCTTCCTTCAGCAGGTTATAAGATTTTTCGAAAGGCCATTTCAAATATTGTACTTTCGGCTACAATCCTTTTTTCATCTTATTTCATTTATTCATTTATTTCGCAAACGGGCGACTTTTATAGTGTTCACATACAGTGATCACGCCACCTCGTTGAAATCAGACTTTAATTTATTTTATTTTTTCTAAATAAAAGTTATGAGGTAGAACAACCTAACTTTAGAACATACCCAAGCAAATATCGCCTATGCGAAAAATCTAGATACATTTCGTCTGTAATCGGGCGATACACGACTAGTTGCCATCTAGATTACTAGTTGGAAAAGGGACTTTGAACTAGATGCGTCTGCGTGTGTAACTAGCAGTAGTTAAATCGATCGATTATCGGACGATAAATCGATAGTTGCAAGTAGAAGAAATCTAGCAATCGGCCGATTAGTAGATTTCCACTGTTGTTATCCAATAGGTGCAATCGAGTAAAAATCTAGTAATCTAGATGGATCGGGCGATACTAGATTTTTTTTGACGCTTGAGTAAAGTTCAGTATGTCACTTTACTTTCTAAATTAAAGATGTTTAACTTTAGTTTTATTCTAAAGCAAAGTTAAAACATTATCCCTACTGATGGCCAAAGTCGAATAAGATATAGCAAAAATAAAAGTAAAACATACTGAGAAATTTATTTTATTTACTCGTTGATTGTGTTATTTTCTTTGCTAATTCATCTTCTGCTGTACTATAAACGCGAAAAGGTTTCCTTTTGTAACGAAACCGAGCGAAAAATAATCCTTAAAAGTAATGTTACTGTCGTAGTGCGATAGTCCCACTGTTCCTGCAAAATATGAGAGATCAACAAATTGAAAACAGCGCGTAACAACGAAAGAGAGTTTGAAACAATAAAGATAGAAGGGAAGATATTTCGATCGACTGACCAAATGAAAAAAGATCGGGTCAACTAGTTTTACGTTTGCGTCTTGGTGTGATTTTAATTTTGCACTTCATCAATCAAATCTCGTCATTTATTGAACAAAAAGAAGGTATTTTTTTGTACTTAAGATTTTTTCGATATCTACAAAAAGTTCCTGTTAATCCATGACAGTATATAGGTTAACAATGATGGAAATATTTATCTGGTCCCAGGAAGTTTGAAAAATGTTATGTCTCGCAACGAATATCACAGTAAGTAGGATTCTACTCGATATTATCTATTTATAAATCTCTTGCTTCTGTGTATATTTTATTAATCTTCGTTTGTTGGTACGTACAGGTCTTCGGAGTAGTACGGACCGTGATGATAATTAAAATTGTTCGAATATAAACATTTATATTTACGAAGATAAATCTGTTGAGAAAAGGTGAAGAGTCGGTATTTATTATAGATTGTAAGACAATTTCTTTCAGAATTTGGTAGTATTATTTACAATTATGATCTTAACGAATTATTCAATACGTATATAACACCTTTTGCCTCGTTTATAAAATGTCATGTGCTGTATCAAATGCACTTTGAATGGAGCTTAAACGTTTAATTAAAAAATGACTTTTAACCTTTCTCAAAATTCCATTAGAACGCGTATATCTCTCACAGAATATGTTTCCGACTCCTGAAACGCTAAGATTCGGAATCTCAGCTAGAGCACAAAATTTCGAACATATGTTTTGGCGGCTACTTTCTTCCGAAATCTGGATATTTGAAAAATTCAACAAATCTTCTATAAAAACAAGCATATGACGTAGGGACGCGTGAGTATTGTCTTCATTTCAGAAATATTTTTAGACCTCTGGGAATCGTCGGACTGTCTAGAAGAAACTTTTTAGCTTCACATTAGATTACGAATCTGACACATCAAACCAAAGAAAAATTTTCAACATATTTTGTTGTATAGCCACCAAGCTTTGTCCTGGATTCAACAGTGACGGAAGGTCGTTCGCAGATATAAGTTCATAAAGTCAAGGGATAGGACAGAGCGAATGCAGACGAGCGTTGTATTGCAATAAATGAAAAAGACACACAGTTATTGCAACGATTGGGTGAAATTCGCCATGTGACATTTCTCATGGACTCCCATTTGCAGCAGCTTGATTCTGACGTCTCGAGGAAAGATATCACTAATAATCTGCAATCTCTTTTCTTTGGTGCTGTACTTGTAAAATTAATTAATCTATTTTTCATCATGATTCAGAAAATTTAGAAATTCTTTTTTTCCATGATGCATGAACCTTGATGGCAGTGATGACGTCATGCTTTCTCTAGAAACGTCGCGTGAATCACTCTTTTACTATATAAACGACTGGCATAAACAAAACTTTTCATTATTAGCAAGTTGTCTTGTTTGAAATCCTACATTTTATTTCAACGCGCTAAACCTTATTTTATTTATTTATCTATTCGTACACGTATTTCTGTTCAATTTAAACACTACAATGCAAATTTTCGTCAAAACTCTCACTGGGTATGTATAAAAAGTTTTTTTACATACATCTTTACGTGTCAGAGATTAAAAATCTAGAAACTTATGATGATCAGTAGCTTCAAAACACCAGTTTTAAAGTCCTATCAAAATGAGTAGAAAGAGAAAGTAAACATTTCACTCATATAAGACAACATTACATCATGATGTTGTTACTATTTTTATAACAAAGCTCTTCAGGAATGTATTAAATAATGACGCAATAATCAAAATTCATGCGATAGTAGTAGAATAGGATTGTTAACAAGTCGTCTCTTGAGTTCTGCCCATTATAATATCGGAGATGACAAATACGTAGTAAACTGTTTTTTCCATATTTTTAGTAAAACAATCACACTCGAAGTCGAACCAAGTGACACCATCGAGAATGTGAAAGCGAAAATCCAAGATAAAGAAGGCATACCGCCTGATCAACAACGTCTCATTTTCGCTGGAAAACAATTAGAAGATGGCCGCACATTATCAGACTACAATATACAAAAAGAGTCAACATTACACTTGGTTCTTCGTTTACGTGGTGGTATGCAAATTTTTGTCAAAACATTAACCGGTAAAACAATCACACTCGAAGTCGAACCAAGCGACACCATCGAGAATGTGAAAGCGAAAATCCAAGATAAAGAGGGTATACCGCCTGATCAACAACGTCTCATTTTCGCCGGAAAACAGTTAGAAGATGGTCGCACATTATCAGACTACAACATACAAAAAGAGTCAACATTACACTTGGTTCTTCGTTTACGTGGTGGTATGCAAATTTTTGTCAAAACATTAACCGGTAAAACAATCACACTCGAAGTCGAACCAAGCGACACCATCGAGAATGTGAAAGCGAAAATCCAAGATAAAGAGGGTATACC